GCAGGAGCAGGGGCGGGTAATGTGATGACAACATTAGTTTACTCGATTCAGTGTTTTTCATTTGCATTGTTTTTAAAACAACAATTTTTCTGAACGGACATATAGACGGCAACTTAGATTTCAGTTGTTGGAGAAACGGGAAGTAGTGAAGTGTTCAGTGCGGCAATTCAGTGTGGTGTACTCTGGTTTTGCTTCACTGACTGTGCATGGCTTTACTAGCACAAAACTAAAGTTGGGTTTCGATAAGACATTAATTAATAATATTTGTGTTGCTTAGCATTATTTCATCATGTTATTTAACTACTTCAGACGTTCCATTTCTAATGATCATCTGATTGGACCGAACACTAGTTGTGGGTCCTGAAAATTGCTCTCATCTCTACTAGAAGACAGGCCATACAAATTATTTGACTGCAAATTCATATGATAAACCATTTCTTCTTAATAACTTGTAGTGAGAGATTTCCCCAACATACCATTCCAAAACCATGGGGAAACAGCTTTTTCTACCTTTATTATTATTATTCTGGTAGTTCACACATCACAGATCACATTGGTTTAGTTATTCGCAATTACGAATTGTAATCCATAGAACCACTGATTATCCAGGTGGATGAAATAATTCCAACGAAAAGATGAAAAATAATAATTCTATCTTGAAGTAAATGTTTTCACGCATTCATAACCCGCTGGTCTGCTGTCGACCAAATCCTCTGGGACGATTAGAACCAGTCAGAAAACACCATTAAAAACATCAACATAATTATTTATAGTTGGTTGACATCCACTAGAAACAAAGGTATCAAGATGCCTCTAGAAAGTTGAGGCATTACAGAGAAGTTATGAGTGCAAGGATAGCCTGCATCCTGTGCTAGGTAGGTTCGCATGGAGCAGAACAAATCTGAGTTGCTATTTCATAAATTCTAAGCTCACCGCATACGGCACAATACTGGAACGTTTCACCACAAACTGTGGTGCACAGAAACTATCCCGTATTTTTTAAAGCAGTTAACTTCATTGAAAGAGATAGACTGAGGATAGCCACAAGAAGAGTTGAACCCCTCGGAGAGGAATTCAGTAAAAAATAAGTACAAGACAATTTCTAGAAATTCAGGCGTAATTTACGTCTTTTTTGTGTCAGAGGTCGGCGCAAACGACCTTTGAGCTCTGCAGCATTCGGGATGGAAGCGCTTCATGTCTTGCTGTCTTGTATGTGCACAGAGCTAAATGTAGTCCATTTGGCAGTGCCCCTGTTATATATATATATATATATATATCAAAAGGAAACCAGGTTAGGTGTTGCAGTTGATGCTTTGAGATAGGGGAAGCTTTGTTGCCAAATATGGTGTACCAGACTGGCCCAAATGGCATAGAAGTATCGTATTTGTGTTAGCTCTGGATTAAGTAATGCTCAGCACAACAAAATAAGCCTTAAATAAGAAGTACCCTGGTGTAAGCAACCAGCTGGTAATCTTGTTACAATTTTATTCTTCTACATTAAGGTGTGATGCACAAGGGCAAACCGCGGCTTACACTGACAAACAAAAAAATTCGTGGTTTGCGTAGCTCATTGAGCGACTACTTTAAGTGTATTGTGCTTGCGTTAGGAAAATACAAACATCTTATTTTCCACTTTTTGCCTTCTTTTTGTAGAAGCCCAACCTCTAAAAGGATTTGCGGTCTGAAACAAAAGATATTCACTTCCTACAGGCATTAACAAACATATCCGGTGTGAAGTTTTTTAATAAAAAACCGTGCCTGTATATCCGGTTAACTGTGGAGTTGGATTGCCGACTGGAGGCACTGGGTTGAGTTAGGATTCCGTGGACAGGAGTGTACACTTGTTGGTGAACACACCAATTTGTTTACTGAATCACAAAATGTTAGGAGGCAGTTTCGGCCGCTTCTCACATAGTGTTACGGATCCATACAAATGCTTGTGCATAGGCCTTAGAATTCTATTACTCAGTGCTGGTAATCCTAGATGATATCGGAAAGCAGAGAAAACCGGTGTGGTATTGAGTTCAGTCCCTTACAGTACAGGGCATAACCAGTTGGACAGTAGTTTATGAGCAGGTCACCAGAGGAAAAATTCACATCTTGACTGGCCTTCCATCTGAGAAGTTGTCATCAGCGGACGCACTCAAATAGTGATCCGTAAATAGAGAATAGCTAGCTTTATATCGTGTCTGAGTTCAAATTATTTGGACTTCTGTCCAGCCACTCATCGCTCATCCGCTTAAACTGATAACCGGAAGGGCAGATGAACGGAATTCCCTTGGGTTTCGTAAAGTGATAATCATTCTTAACAAAAAAGAAACAGCCAACCAGTGTCTTTCAGTTTTCCACTGTAGACTACCTTTTCTCAAATGAGAAATATACTTCAACAATCCCTGATGATAGGCAGATTGATTGTTTGATTTTTGACCTCGCCCAGTCGTGCATTGATTTATTTTTTTCTCTTTGACGAAATACCTAAAGACTGATTCTCCAAACTGGTCTCATATGCTAGCGGTCGGGAGATTCTCTAGGTTTCAAAACTTAATGAAATTCTCAAAAGAGCTTTAAAATGGTCCGGTCTGTGTGGTGAACATCCCCGACGTGATCTATACTGAGGAATAAATGTGTGTTTAACTAAAGAACATGCGGTAAAAAGTTTTTTGTAGACTACTCTGGATGTGTGATTTGCACTATATAAAACCATTCCAGGTCAGTTTTTTAAACAGAAACTTTCTGCTCGATAAACTGCTCGACTATTCACTGTAACCGCTTGCAGCCTAACGACAAAAAGCAACCGTCCGGTATTTCACGCGTTACATTGACGAAGCTTTTGAGAAGACTAACAGGAAAGTGTCCAGATTTGTAAAAGGCAATAAGTACTTTGGATAACAATGTATAATTTAAAATTTTCCACGAAGGCAGTCAAATACAGAACTAGGTTAGAACTGCAGATCCACAGAGAATTTAAGAAATTTTGAAAGATTTATAGCAGCGTTAAAATTAGGTAAAAAAATGTAACATGCCAGTTGATTTGGGCAAATCTGAACAACCTGGTTGCTGATTCGTTTGCCTAACGTGTTAGTTGGATTCTAAACACTTTAACACCAATTAAGGTGACACTGTCAGTATCTGATCTCGCCTTCATTGGTGATGAAAAGTTGGCACCCCGAATGCCCTACAAAGTCCCTGACTATATTCTGTGCTAGTCGTTGGGAAAGTCACATATCATCCAGTGGTTGGGGAGTATCTATATTTGTTTGCATAAACCATATCTCGTTTTTCGTGGATATCTTTTGGTAAGCATTTGTACCATGTGACCGAATTTTTGATTTATTCTAAGTCCCAGTGACGGGTTAGTTTGGCATTAGCTCACCTTTATTCAGTGTGAAAATCAGTATTATTTTAAAAAACTGGAATCGGGAACACAACATCTCATCGTTTATCCTTCATATACTATCCATTTCCGAGCTGTCAATCAGACATTCGGTCGTGAACTTGAAACAGCCAAACACTTACGAACACGCAATGAGCGACGTTTCGATAGGCCTACCAACAAACAGATCGTTTCCGATTGTGTGCAGATTACCTCAGGTGAGTGTCCTCGCAATAATTAGACCAGCGTTGAACTCTGGGGCGAAACATATCGCGTGCGCACCTATGAACTCAAAACCTTCCATTTTCCTTATTTATGAATTGGGAATGGCAGACGAGGTTGTTATCATTACGGAGGGACTTCTCCCAGACCAGCGTGAACTCTGGGGCGAAACATATCGCGTGCGCACCTATGAACTCAAAACCTTCCATTTTCCTTATTTATGAATTGGGAATGGCAGACGAGGTTGTTATCATTACGGAGGGACTTCTCCCAGGCTGCTTGATTTTACTTCTGTTCACCTTGACTTACAATAGTTCATATTTACTATCGTCGTGTGAAGAATTATTAGGATAAACAGCAGGACAATTAGCAGGTTGTCACTTTCAATTTTTTTCATTGAACAGTGAAGTTCATCGAGCCTGCAGGATTAAGAACTCAATACCATGGATGCTTAGTAGTCACCACAGAGATATCCTACAAAGTAACCAATGTGCTTGTTCTGCAACTTCTTTCCGGTTGAACCTGTATATTTTCAACAACTTAAATATTATGGACCGATATTCCTACATAAGTGCAATACGTTTTACAAGCGTGGTGTACAAATGAATCGTGTTTTTCCTTGACGCAATACGAGCTAGTATCTAAGTGACAAGCCAGTCATCAAGCATATCTACCCTTTTCGATAACCATAAAACACAAGCCAAACTGTTAATTATTGGGGCCAGTTTCACTGAGTTAAAAATATTGACTGCTTGGGCATTAGAAGATAACAGCGCCTCTTCCTACAAGTGGATTAATTTCGGCTGGCAACAGCTTGTTAAATGACCAAAGTATCAACTTCAATAATCAAAGGAATTGATGCTGATCATCCCTTTTTCGGTTTTATTTGATTGGCTAGCACGGAAAAATGTATGAAACCAAGAACAAAAGGAAACCCGAGAAAAAGCAAAGAATCCTTCAGAAAAGGGGTAAAAAGATGTAAAATGTCCGCTTTATTTGATTGGCATACGCCATTCAACCCCAATATCGGACTGCTGTGTGGACATCTTAAACTAACCTGAAATCGGGTTAATTAGAGCTGAACAAAATGAAATAAGGAGGTTGCAACATTTTACAGCGAATTTCTATCTGTGTTGCCACTCCGAAGCTAAATTTGTTACTGTGTACCTGAAATGCTGAGGCTCCCAGTTTCGTCCTATAAACCGTTATCTTATTTGGGAACGGGCTCAGCTATGAATGCTCTACATTCTTTTAAGATGAGGACATCTCGGCACGCCATAAAGGACGTAATTTGAGTTGTGCATTTTGTTGACAGCAGCCTGCCTCCAGAACAATTTTACTTAGAGTGTGTGGGATTTTTAAAACTACCATACCCGGTATCTACGGCAGGAACAAAAAACGAAAACTGGTCAGGTCCGAACATCAGGTGGTGATATCCTAAAAATAAATAGAGAGGATATCAGCCCATCTGAATTAGACTTGGCACGGTAGTACTGATAGCTCAAATTACCTGTATGATCGCCGCTATCTATTGGTTTTGTTCTTCAAATCATGTTACGTCATATCTTACCTACGGCGGCCATGCCTGCTGATATTTGTCTCATCTAAGCTTGTAGACTGATTCCGAAACTATAAAATCCATTTTAGATGTGCCTAGTAATAAAAATAGAAAGTTTCGACTTAATATTGCACTTTATTGCTATTCATACTAAATTATTGTAACAATATGTTAGTGTCTGTAAAAAATGTCATAATCTTTGACGCAATAATCCTTCGCATCATATCGCTTAGATCTTTCTTTTTGAAGTTTTCTTATCAACCAGATATTTCCGAAGTACTTACTCCCTTTATTGCTAATCATGATGATTAAGCTAACATTGCTGTAGGAAGAATAGAATAAAAAACAAAATAGCCGTCTTAAATATGCACCCGTCACTTGCGCTAAGCCACTGCAATGAGTGAGTAATTTTTCTTAAAACTAACAGCGTTTTAAAGGACTACACAATTTGGTTGACGTATTCAGTCAGGCCAAATTTCGAGCTCTATAACAGAGACACTACCGGAGAAGAAGTACTTTCTTGCGTTGCGCATGGAAACCTAGATAAATGTTATGATTTACTTTTTATCTGGTAGAAAATGTATGGCTGCTAATTCGCTGGTCTTAGGTTATATATCGAAATTTACAAGAAAACACCCCTTGTCAGTTGTTTAACCGATCAGATTCCAATTTTGTTACCTGCAGACAAATAATTTCGAAAATTGCTGCGGAAAGGTGTAGTTTGATGCAGGCTTTTTGAATATTATCAGAACAAGGAAATGAGCATTCACCACTTGGACGGCTAGAATCGTAACATTAGATGGCATGATCTCACTTTTGTTCAAAGAATGAATAAATGGGCATCGTGCACCCCAGTATCAACCAACTTGTGAGTCTCAGTGCCAACATTTTGAAAGAATCAACTGAGTTCATTAATTTGGTACGTTATTTGAGTGAGCATCCTTAGCAACGATGTACACGAATTTTTGGTATAAAGGTGGTCTGGTTTGCTTAGGCTTATCTCAAGTCTGTGTAAATTAACCAGCCAAGCAAATGAGTTATCCAGAAACCACTTTATACACAATCATTAATGGGACTAGCTGTGAAACTAGGTAGTTCATGTTACCATATAGCTCATTCTCCAAGATAACGGAATAGGCGATATATTGAGTTCAAAATACTTACTGAAGTCTCCATTCGACATTAGTTTTGCAAACTATTTGAGGGCATTGGCATGGGACCAAAATAAGGATTTGGCAACTTTTTTGGATGACTAGTTTCAATTCCAAAAATATGTTCATCGCGTAGAATAAACTATTCAATGCTGCTATCTCTACGAGTATGCTGACGCATAGTATATGTTGTTTTGTCTTTAGACTAAATGTGCTTTTTTGAGGAATCACTGGGCAGTTCTGGACACTCAGGGCTAAACAAACTTCAATCAAATGAAACACTATATTGGCTATAGTGATGCCGTTACATACAATCTATAAAAATCCTGGACAGAAATATGATTTGAAAATAAATCACACCCATTTTGACAGACTGGTTTTAAGACTTCAGTATGATGAAAATGTTAACTTTATATTTGCACGGTTCTGTCCATACCAAGCATTTCTTAGGCGCAATTTAAGAGGAATTTTCATCCGTTTTACCATCGTTTACATTACTTTGCCAGATTTTTCCTTACTCAGTATGGAGAAAATTTAATTTGAACATAGAGTAAGTTATGTTGCGTCATGACGCTTCTGGATATACAAATGGAATGCTACTTAAACAGCCCAAACTGCTGAAGACAAGTGTAATCCGAGACAATTAGAAATTTAAAAAAGTGTAGCTAGTGTTTTTGAGATTGTGCACTCAAATTGTTGGTTGATTAGATATATGCTATTTGTCTGATGTTCCAGCCACCCAATTCTTGCATGAATCCGGCCAAAATTTTGCAGCTTTGCTCCAGTAATTACAGTCTTCTGAGTTTACCCCTCTCATGCTTACCTTATTGTATTAAACATAGATAAAGTTGCCTGAGAACATCATAAACGAGGTATTCAGCTGGGTTCCAGGTGAGTCTCTTCTCTCGGCCAAATTAGTTTGCAAATGAGTGTATATTCGCTAATAAAGACAGTTCTCAAAGAAAGTAATTGAAAACAGGGGGACAAGTAAAATACAACTAAATGTCACACTCACCTTTCAGCTGCGTGTGAGGTCACTATTACCTTCGAGAAAAATTTACTTTGCTTCAACTAACTTATAAACGCTTGTGACCGCGTTCTTAGGTGTGTGCACGCGTGCGTGCGTGCGCGTTATCAAACAGGAAATGCTCGCTATTGCCAGACGGATAATCTGATTGGCTGCTAGCGGTAGCTGAATTTGCACGGAGGCTCACTATTGTCGTGCGTGAGATGTTTACCCCAATCACAAAATGTAACCTTGTGGCATAAAAATTTGTCACATTTCCTTCATAATTATCCCATGTTTAATGCTTTAAAGCCCAAAAACAGGGGTCGTAAGGAGTTTCTGAAATGTTCATTAGCAGTTTCTAGTATGCACACGATGCCCGACTAGCTGGGCATGCCAACACAAACCCCAAACGTCATCGTGACACCTAATTTGTTCCACGTTGAAGTCAGTTCATCCTAGCCGTATCCCAGCTACTATTTGCAGTCTTCATTATACGCGTTCCGACAATACTCGAAACTACGAAAATCTATTCATCTGCGAGCTCGTCTTCCCAGATTAGATTACCCTATCCACCCAAGGCCCGAATTAGCAAGATTTCTCATATCATTTAATTTTTCTGGCCTTGGTGGTAAACTTTCGGGACGCTAGGTATTCCGTGTACGATATAGCAGTAAGACCGTTCGAAAACTGTTGAGAAGCACTGACTAAATGCCAGGAAGTTTGGTCCCCGGGCACAGACCAGATAGAATTCCGATTCAGATTTAGTTCACTTATATCAGATTCGTAACTTACCCAAATTTTTGAGTTGATAAAATATGCCTAAAAATGACAGCCATACGCTTAAATTCCGGCTTGGTTGTTTTAAAACCTAATTGTAAGTAATACTGATAGTGGCAGTCCGAAGTTTATGTTGCCGTGAGCCTAAGGGATTGGATGTATAGAATTTTCGTTCTTGAGAAACTTTTGTGTAGACGAGCAAATAGCAAAGACTGCTTGTAACCTAGGCATTTACAAGATGCTACAAATTTTACAGCAAGAGGGTTTTCAAGGCGGACAGTATTTATCTATTCGTGGAATGGGCAAAGACGATTTAAGAGAGATGTGTCTTTATTTACACTGATAGATTAACGGCTGGACGAGCCTGCTATTGACGCAAACAAACATAGATAAGTCATAAAAGCACGACTTAACATATAAAGCGGGCATTGAAAATCTCTATGTGCAGAGCAATGTTGCTTTTCGCGCCTTACGGCAAAGAATACTATAAATGGCAAGTTTGGTTCCAATACTTTGAGCAGCCCTACAGTTACTTCTGCTCAGAGCCAACCAAGAAGATTGATGATCCAAAGTAGATTGCCTCAGTCCGACTCATTTTTTATGGCCGCGATTAACCACAGAGATAAATTTAAACTCAATCTTTAATATCACAAACTAGACTCACAATGGAAAATTTTACAGAGCCGGATGCGTGCAATGTTTTCTGGAAGGATTTTTTAAGGTACAGATTTAACTTTCATGCTCTGAGCAAAGATAAATTGGCAGACAAACGATATTCTTTTAAGGCTGGGGTTGGTTACAAACTCTCTGAACACGAATGCCACAGGACGGCTGACGCGAACACAGAACTAAATCCATAGTCAGCACCGATTTGGCGCTGCACCAAACCAGGTTAATTGAAAAAATAATAGCAATTTAAATGCAGAGTGCATGAGGACCATCAATTGGGTTTGAGGCTGTTGGATAAAAACTTACAAAAGCATAGTTAGACCTTCAGGTTCGAAGTTGACTAGAGGGCACAATTATTTGTTGACTACGTAAGCATCCCCCAAGTAGACTACAAACGTGTTCCCTTCACGTGGCGGAGGCCCGTTGCTGAGTGAAGGCTACTTGACATTGGCCAATTTGACCCCCCCAACCCCCCCGAATAACATTGGGATACTAGGATTTTGAATGCAGAACAAATTAGAAGATTGGCTCGTGCTGAAATTTCAAAGGATCCTAGACAGACAACACACAAAATCAAGTCTCTCCAAGACTATGAAGCAGGCTGTAACGAAAGATCACCAGCTTGAAGCCAGTCTCGACAAAAATGGACTGTGGAAAATGGGACGAAAATATTCGGTTACTGAGATTGACTCCACAATTTCACCAATTCTTCAGCGAACAATATCGCTGAATCTACAGTAATGAAGAAGGCTAGATCAAAATAGTCTTTATTCTGTGAACGCCTACATGCATCAATGAATAGTTGGGGGAAATTTTGTCGTATTTTCACCTTTATCTTCCTGGAGTTTTTTTGAGAGACCTGTGGACCGAAAAAATTAAAAAACCTGCAGCGGACAAACGCTCACCACATCTCGACATTTACTAACTGTATGCTGAATTTATCCAACCACCCCTTGGATGTCAAATAAAATTGGCTAACTCACAGTGGGGAACCAAACACATGACTCTTTCGTGTCGAACAAACTAGTGTCAGCGGGGACTCCATGGCATCTGGAAATGACGACCAGGTGCCATAGTGGAGAAAGTTCGTGGTAAGAAATTGTGAAATAATATGGAGCTGAGAATGTCTATGAATGTCATAGTTATGCAACAATAATTCCGGTAGGAGAAATATTATTACTATGAAATTATGCACCTTGGTGATTTAACAAAACTTCTGTGATAATACTCCGAGAAGTTGATCAAACTTAGACATGTTGGACGCAATCGCTCCAAAATTTTTATGGTGGCGGGTCTGTCTTATTCTTGAAGAAAAAAGCACAAACGTTATAGAGAAAATAAGCCAACGAAAGTCCCATTCGTTTACTTATCAATCATGTTTGTTTTGGTGGCACTATGTATTGACCTTTTTTCAAGTCTTTCGATCCTTTTAAACACTCATGTTAAGCCTTTACACTGAGCACGGTTTTATAGCTGGATCCCTTGGACACAGTTCTGCAGACCCTGATAAGTTTACTGGCCCGTATTCATGGCTCTTATTCACTCTGCTTGTATCTCTGCTTGTACCTATGTTACCTGGAGGGCTCAAACATTACTAAACAGTAGTGACATTCTCAAAAAGCGTTTAGTGACGCATGTGAGTTATAGTCAACTGGATGTGGCTCCAAACTGTTTACTTGAATTTCGCTTTATACCACTTTTTTCCAAAATGTCCCAAAATCCATAAAACACAGAGTCGCACCATGGTGGGGTTGTGTGTTTCTCAAATTTCGCTATCTCAGTAGCAAACTAACAATAAGGATGCCTTGAAATCTCAAAGACGGGAAATCCCAATGCGCCTGACGCAATTAGGAATGATATTTTTCTTTCTTATGTAACATGAAGGGCGCCATGTAGTTGTAGTTGTTATACTCTTATCTAACAACGAGACAGGAACGGTGTTCTGGCGTTTTATTCGAGTGCTTGTTTGATTTCATCAACAGTGTCTGCTCAAGCTTCTGGTTAGCCACTGAACAAAGTAGATTCTGAACACTAAAGTACCAAACAAGGAGAACTAATAGAAAAACGTGCATTTTTGTCAGTGGCAAGGTGCTCCTTTTAGGCAGTGCAAACCACACATCGTCTGGAATTTTTAAATATCTGTCGCGTTCCAGGCTGAGACCGACAGACTTTGAAGTACAGATTTGATGGAGACCACTAGAGCATCTGGTCTAGGAGTGAGAAGCTCATCGAAATTCCACACGCAGCCATGGCGCACTTTGAGACGTAATATATCTAGATACTTGGACGTAAAGTGTCCTTTGTGACTAGCCCTCGCGAACACAGCAACCCTTTTGGTGAGCGCTCTCTGCATACATTAGTCGAAATTGCGTTACACCAGTTCTCTCACGCTGTATCCGTTGTCAAGTGGTGACGGTTACTTTGGAGTACCAAGTAGCCATCGGGTAAACACATTTCGGTTTCAGTAGAAATTTCGTCCTGCAAATGAAGCCAACCTACGCTGAAAAGGGCATAAGCATTATGCAGTTGTTTGATCCCTTTTAAAAAACACCAGCAACCTAAAAGTGGATCGTAACAAGAATAGTTTATAAGACGAATTAATCTTGAATCTCACATTTCGTCATGCAAAGATCCAGTCGAAACAAAAACACACGAGCCGGTTTCCGTAGTTTAAGGATAAGTGACTCTTTCTTCTGTCTAAATGTGTGTTCATCTCACTTGTGGACGAACTCTGAGTGAACAAACCACTATCCCGGTAGTCACGGGTTAGAAGCCGTCTAGAGTTTGGCAAGATGCGCAGTGCGGTTTCTGTTGCTGTCTGAATGAGATTTTTAGTCGAGCTAATCTTGCATACATCTTCCAGTACTAACCCACGGACACCAATTCAGTAACTATCTCTCTGTGAGAATTCTATTGCAATATAGAATACTGCAGATTAGTCAAAGTTAAGAAGTTACTGCTACCTGGTTTTACAAATTGAAACTCGCATTCATTTGTGAACAGTCTGCAAAATGAATGTTATACCAAATAATTGGCGAACACGTTTAAAGCTAACCAAGTTCTGGTTAGCTTCAAGTAAACCCGCAAATTTTGGGTCGAAAAATAGCACGGAGTTTCATATAAGTCGCATTACCAGCGCCGCAGTATAAGACGGCCCTTGAAGAGCCATCAAATACAATCGCTAAATCGGCTTCACGGACTGAGTTGCACTCATTTCATTCAAACCTGGCTAGGTTCATTTGGCATATGCAGAAAATGATGCAGAGTCAGATGTGTGCTTTGTCTGGTGTTTTCACTAAATTGTCATTAAACAGACAACTAGTCGGCCTGTAGCACTTGATAGTTCAATCAAAACAATAATACATTACAAAATATGTGGCTTTTCTTCACACTACATCAGGTGCTAGAGAGACCGTGATTCTTAAAAACAGTAATACCATCGGGCCACATCGGCGGTCGCTATACTAGGGGATGTCCATGCGACACTCACGGAGTTTTTCATACTGAGCTGGTCATCGGGTGGAGGTTTGACACTCCAGGTTTGGGATTGGAACGTGTGTTTTGACTGCTTCTCCAGGAAATAGTAATGCACTAGCATTCTCCGCTTTGCACTGCTACCTTACAGCTAGGTTTTTGGGTTAACGTCTTTACTCGAAAATCCTAATTTTCCGCCCGTAGAGATATGGTTGGTCTGATAGTATCCGAGCCCATCTAGTACTGGGATTTCTAAAACTAACAATATTCTCATAGCAAATTGGCCGTCGCGTGATGTCATAAGCCGAGTCGTCTTAATTGCTGTATAGAGCAGGGTGGATAAGTGAAAACAGACTACAGCTGACGTCTCCCCTCTTTCACACAATTTTTTTTTCACTCTCCCCACCACATTCATAACTGTCTTCTTTTGGGCCCAGCATTTAGGACTGATGAGCCCGTTTGTCTTGCATCGTATTTGCATGCAACACCTGCGCGCCACATTGAGGCGACTTCCTCAGGCATCTCGAAACTGATCTTCAAGCCCCGACGCACACTCAATATGGCCGCCATCAATGTCCACACTCTGAAGCAAGCAAGTCAAAAAGCAGCTCTTACAACCATATTAGATTTGCTTACTGTTGATGTGTGCTGGGTACCGGGAACATGACTCTAAGGTACAATTACAGTGGTTGAGCCAACTATCCCATCTCTTTTCGGCTGCTTATAACTGGCGATCCGAAAGCTGATGCGACATAGTGTGCTGGGTTCTATACCGTCTTAAATCACAAAGCTCTTTGAGCTTCGCATCGGCTCCAGATGTCTCTTCCAGCAACGTCCGCGAAAAACCTCAAAATCCGGAAGGTATTCTTTATCTATCTATTTTGTCTATTAACGTGCAGATCGACTGTAGCCCTGATACCATGCGACCTTTAGGACCCCTTGAGAACCCTGTTACGGTGTGTTAAATGCTCTCGTATCCTTGTGTATGCTGTAGATTTAAGTACGCAGGTGGGCATACATATCGCAGCTGAGACTCAAGTAGAGAGCTGAGTTGAATTGGACCCGAAGCAAACGTACAGTGGCGAGCGAGTTCTTCAGCTATGTGCTGACTGCAGGTTGTCTATATGCAGCAACAACTTCCGAAATAGCCCAATTCTACTGTTCACACGGTGTGAACCAACAGCGTCTCAGCCGCGGAACTAAATTGATTTTGTCACCATCAATAACTTAGTGCCACTCGTTTTGGAATGCTTGTGTGGTTTGTGACCGTACACTCTTCCAGAGTCGCTTCTCTTTACTCTCCTGATCCATGTAAGAAGTAGACAACTGACGTAGCAACTGAGACTGTGGCAGATCCCGAATTTAGGCTAATTTATTAGAGCTGTCTTCTTGATTCTATCTGAACTTATGTAGCGTCTCTTATCGATTGCTACTTGAATACGATCGCCAATACCTTCCACAGTGCCGAGAGATTTGCCTGTATCGTGGCCCGCAAAAGAAAATGAGGTCTACGTCTACATGTGATTTATCAGGCACCACCAAGCTCCTGGTTCAAATGACCTCTCGTCTACATGGTTCAAGAGAGGGGTAAAGAACTCAGTCGGCGATTCTTCGAGCAAATTTGCTTTCGTATGGGATAAGTAGACCGTTTTAGATTGCTGGAAAAAATCGGCTATAGTGCGCGCCTTTATAAACGGGGCCGTTGGAGCGTGCGGAAATTACAGGAGATTAGTTTTCCACAGTGATAACAGGACACTTGGCGTCCATTTTCCCTCTTCGACCAATGGTAGCCCGCGAAGCATCGATTCGAAGCAAGCAGGATTACGATTTGTTACGAGTTACGTTGGCAGCGAAGGATCAGTGTTGAACACTGTTGTCAGGCTGTCGCTAATTATGATGATGACTGGTCGCATTGGACAAATATTCACACTCTGTCAGATACTAAAACAATTTCATACGTATAAACTACCAACAAAACGCATTCAATTCATTTGGCCGTTCTGTTAACCTTGACACGCTTGCCCAACATGGAATAACTGGGGAAATTTTGGGCATAATAAGCTCTTTGTATTCTCGGACTTCCGGCCATCTGAATATGTGGAAGTTTCCTTAAAGGCCTCCGTACACAGATAAACGTCCGCCAAAGATGAACTGCCTCTCCATTCCTATTTAATTTAGTGATCAAGATTTGCAAGACAGCGGATTATCACTGTGTTATGCTGTTGAGGATGATAATGGCAACGAGGCTGATTTAGAAGATCAGTATTGATTTCCAGTACGACGGCAACGGTTTGCCAGCGTATGTTGGTCGTACTAAGCCTCTAATTGCCTACAGGTGTGGAAGTTGATTCTTTAATTGCGAATAATGAATGCTAAAAGCAGACGATAGAATAATTGCCAACCAATTTGAATGCTTCAGGTTATATTTATAGGATACGTAACGGTTGTGACCGCCACTGATTTTAAACACCACGATACGAGAAAACAAACTCTCCTGGTTAGTGAGAACTACTGTTCACCAAACCCAATGCACGTGAGCTGGAGGCTCTCTGGCTGCACCTTGGTCATGTTTGTATGCAGATCTCCATTTTTAGATCTCAAAAGTCATCATTTTCGGTGTACTTTTCAAAAACGATGGTTTAATGCCGGTTTGTATAGTTATCTACGCGTTAGATAGGTTTCATAGAACACTGATAGACAAGATCTGCTTCTAACTTGTAGCAATTCACTCGACGCTATCTTAATACACAAGCTCTGCATGAAACCTGCACAACACTACTGGAATCTCTATACATTTCACACAATTTGGGGTTCTTTACATTTAGCTATTTTGAATATTCCGCCCACTATTTTGCGAATTTATAGTCAGTTGTTTACAAAACCTTTTTACTAGTTTTTGTACCAGTTTTTCATAGTAAAATTGTAAGATGCATTCACGCGTGACGAAACCCATGTAAATCGAGTAAGACCTCGTGTTGCTACCCAGGACTTACAAACCAAAAAATAAGGAAGGTTTAACTCTCCTTCAGCTCCTTCCTTCGTAGGCTGTCTAGTCTGTTCTGGCTGTACACTTTGCATCAAAGTACCTAGCCCGGGAGAATGAAGTGGCCTACACATTACTTGCATTGTGTGCCTTAGTTTTGACAGGGTAATTATTGCTTCTTAGAGAATAGAGATAGAAAAAACGTCTACGAAACTAAAATGTTGTGGATTACAAAACGAAGCACAGTTATTTTAGTCCAAAACATCTGTCATATCCATTGGAAAGCGATTACAGTTTTACCTTTAGTTTAGTCTAGGTAACATATTTGAAAAAAGCACCCATTTGGATTCCTAACCTATCGCTGGCGCATGAGGTACACCCCGATATCCATAAGATTTCATCAAGAAGGTTTTTTCACCAATAGTCGTGAGCGTTCTTACTGGAAAATGTGACTGGTAAAAATCCACAGGGACACACCAGCTGATATTTCCTATTTAAAACTCGTCAGCTGAATTGGATTTTTATAGTTTGAGAAAACCGCCAATGGACTTAAAAACAGGTTTCCCCTATGTGGACTTCTGCTGTTTACTCGGTAAATTGTTGCGTTTGGCGGATTTGCAGCCGCAGATTCGGCAAGGTCGCATGTCTCCCGCAATTCGGGGACGACACAACTTGGTTGGGTATTGATACTCAGTACAATAGTTTGGGGTCGACGGGAAAGACATCCACAGTTTCGCTGCAATCTATCCGTATGCGGAAAACCTATACATATATATATGTATGTGTGACGTGTCAGGTCAAATATGTTGCACGCAGTCACTCTCTACTGCTCAGTTCGATAAGGGAATCGAAACGCTGAATATCTTCAAAGGGGGTCCTCAGTCCAGTCCGTTCAACGTTTACCAGACAAAGTACGGCCTATGGAGCCCGTCCAACTTTACAGTTCTGGAGGATGCAACGTACCAGCTGAATATAAATTCAACACGCGAAGCTGACTCTAAAATTGAAAACTAATTGCTGGGTTGAAAAAAGGAAAAAAACTAGCGAATTTCGCACCCGGTTTTATCGTTGCTGCGAATAGCCCAAGTACAAAAACAAATTCTTAAATGGGGTTTGGAAATCACCAATAGAAATTCCCTCCCATAGGCGAAAACAAACTGTGCTAACCATCCAAAAACTTCGAAAATCTACTTCATCCTTGTTAGGAGTCATCAGCAATGCATACATAAAAAATTCAGGAAGTTTCAACAATTCAACTGAAACCTTCTGACACAGTTCCTAAATTTTTTCAGGACTTCGAACGTGAGCTTGAATGAATTTGTGAATTATAGCCCCTCTTTTGTATGACAAATTTCCAGACACATTTGAAACGAATTTCACGGTTTTACATATGGAGACTTTTTTTTGAATTGTTAGCTTGAATATATAAAATCATGGTAATTGCCTTCCAGGAAACATACAAAAAACTGAAATGAGATTATCTTCTTTACAGAACGATTATTTCTCCTAAATATTTTCCCTTATTAAACGTATGACGTCAAAAATAACCTTAAGTTACATTAATTTTTTATATTTCTCCTGAAATCGTTGTATATTGATGTGAGTAACTTACAACCAGTAATTTTTCTTATCAGCCTGTTGATATTTGATATGTTTTGTCGAGTTTATTTTTTATTATTTGCCCTCTATCTTCTGCTTCATATAGGTTGCATGTTTGTCAAACTACACTACTCAAACGATCACCTTTTTCCCTGACGAAAGTTTATCAACCAGGTTGTGGATATTAAGCGACTTAATATACCATGAAGCTTTCAGCTGTACAAGCCTTCCTAGAACTGAGGTGGGGTAACGACTGTTTTACAGTTCACACTGCACCAAGTCTGTTGATCTGCTCGCCGATCTCTTTAACAGGGTACTAAAGATATCTCCTCGAATGGTGACGAAACGTTTGCAAAGCAGTTGCCGAGCTCGGGGAACAGATCACCACTCACCTGATCAAATATCAACTAATGCAACAAGTCTAATTAAATTGACACCACTTTGAACTCTTTTCATGGTTGTGTAACTAATGCAAGACATTTTGGTGAGCAAATGTTCAAATCCTGTTCTGTCCGCCTGAAAAGCATAATTTATGAGTTTAACAGTGAATCCAACACAGAGACACGTGCCTGAAAGAAAGATATAAGCTTATCAAATACAGACCCCGAATCCTTCTGCAGTATTATGATGTCCTCCTCGATTCACTTTTGTTTTAGAAATCGGGATAATTTCCCATGTACACACGAGGTTCTTTGGGCATTAAGTTCATTGTTTGGGTCATCTAATTTTGTTTTACGAATGGCCAGACTTTCACCAGCGGTAGTTGCCAAAATGAAAGTTTTGCGTTTCAAACGCCAGGCGACCAAATGCTCGTGGTAACTCCTGGAGAGTTAACTGCTACTTCAGTAAATTTTGCAGTAAATGTTTCAAAGTTCCTCTGAACAATTCCTGCCCTAGTATTTACTCGCAAACAGATTTGTTTTCTGGGAATACTAGGAATCAAATACGCACACTTTTGGTCCGATAATTGGTTGCTTCCCATCATGACTTTGTTCATTACCATTTTTACGGATGCTTGTACACCATATATCGCGGAATCCGTCGTGTTAAGCTTTAAGCGCACACTCTGAAGAATCGGTATTTCGTGGAAGATTTCACTGGTTTAAAGGATAATCATGAAAATTTTAGGACTACAAAACTCATGACCATGCACGCTGTAAGATGATGGTGGAGATAATGATGGAGAATACCCAGTTCCAAACCTCGGCCCGAAATTTTGACTGCTAGTCTCAGGTCTGCATGCAGCATTGTGGTGGCTATTTCATCTCGTATATTGTCAAATGTTAAGATATGTAGGGACTCATGACTGCAAAACTGGATGTATGATGAACGGGTGCGCTCTTATTACGACAAATTAGGTTTTTCCACCTGATGCAGGTCAAGAGCTTAAAAAATGGGTTAATACACCCGAGGATGAATTTCCAATCTGGGATCCCAACACTCATGTTAGATTGTTTAGGCGCATCAGGAACAATCCTTACTGAAATTAAATTTGGAGCAAATCAGTTGTGGAAGCTTTACCAGAGGTCACGGAGCAGGTAATTTTTAGTTACGAACAATCAGGTCATACGACTCATCACGAGAGAAAGTTTTAATGACAAAGGAGGGGATAATTTCTTGGCAAACATCCCGAAACGCAAAACAGTATC